ACTAAAACAACTGGATAGTTATACGGGCTGTCAGCTTCTTTTTCTCTAATACCATCCTGCAAAGTCTCCTCAATTTAAATGTCTCTCTACCTCACACCCATAAATATCACCTCCACGATTTCACGAGTAGTTGAATCGATTGAAAACAATCAAATCAGTCAGTATTTACTCCCTAATAACACATTTAGGCTTAAGCATTTCAAACAAAGAGTACTCGGTACCAGTCACAATGACAACACCACACACAACCACTCACAGGAGATTATTGCAGGTACATCCCGTTGGCAACTCCCGTACCAAAATCATTCAAGTGCCATCCATCAAATTACACACTTTTAAGTCCGGATAATCTTCACCTCTACATCCACTCACTACCCAGTAATTAACCTCATCCATCCATCCTCTCTAGGATTATAATATTATCCTACCTGCGAATGAATCTTCAGAACACATTCATTCGATAAAACAAACATATTATCTATCTTCAATCTGATTTCACCCACCCTACTCATCACCGGTTGGTTGCGTAAAACTTCGTGATATGTACAGCGGCGGAAAAAGGGAAACAAACCAGAACTTACAATTTCATCACCTTCCAGTCTTCCTGCCAGATCATTATTATCATTGACTCTGATACAGTCTGACTTGACGCGTTTTCTGGGATTCCCCGGTATAATCCAGTCTGCGCCGAAATCTTTCGGCTTTCGTCTCCGCTTCCTGTTCTCTTCACTATTTGACGGGCCCACCTATATGGAGAAAAAGCAATCACAATCAAAGAAAGCACAAACACATACATCACACAACTTAATTCACGTGTAAATATAATTATTTAGAGAATGATTATTTTATTATTTTTGTTAGCACTCCGTCTCTAATTACATGTCATCTTTTTAAAATAATTTTATTCTAATTGCCACTTCAGTTTCACTTAGAAGTTATCATTGTGGAAAGCGGTTTGCTTTCTTGGAGAATCTGTTATGTAATAAACCTGTGCATACGCTTGTTTCTTACTTAGTCGGGATTTTTCCAAAATCATGCATTACGTAATCCATGTGTTGCAAGGATTTCTACATTTAAAAAGTATGCATTAATTTACTTCGTTAATTATCACCCCATTGACACGTTGATACTGCCTAGTGATTGTTAACAAACATACTAGTGCCGCTTGATTGGTAAATTGTTGTGTATTCTAATAAAGATGCTATCTATACATATATTAGAGTACAGCCAGACATCAGTATCTAATTGAACGGTAATTATTTCTTTGCTCAATGCTTCTGCTTTCCAAACATAGAATTTGGTAGAGTCCAGTCATTGATTACCCAAATATACAAGAAAGGAAGACAAGTACTGCTGTGATAATCACACGGCGATTAACGTGACTAATATGGTGGCATCTAAAGTTCTAGGCTCAATAATAATGCCTCCAATACTAAGTGGTGCTCTGGAGGCACAAACACGAGAGAATCAGAGTGGGTTTAGACCAGGAAGAGGGTGTATTGATCAGATCTTCACCCTCAGACAGATTCTGGAACAGAACATAGGCATACTTACTGTTGGCATCCAACAATGGGCATATTTCTTGACCTGAAATAAGCATTCGAATCCGTTGACCAAGATGTACCATGCCGATGTTTGGCTGTGAAGGAAATACTGAGAAAATACGCCGCACTGATCTAGGCACTCATTCTACTCGAACTCATGCAGTCAGCCAGGTAAGAGCCTATGGAGATTTGTCATCTGATAACTGTGGTGACAACCACTGATGTCACCAACCATCAGGGATGCCAACTTCTGTTTAATTATACATCATACAGGTACTAATGGAATTAACCCTAACTGACTTCAGAGACTCAGACATTGACTTGTTACCAGGGGATAATATCACCGACTTAGAATATGCAGATGACGAAGTCCTGCTCCTAGGTGAAGGCGATGACAAAATACAGCAGAGTCTTCTGAACACCTTGAGGTGCAATCTACGAATGTTTGCCATGCGATTCGCTCCCGCTGTCAAATGTAAGTTGATGTTACAGGACTGGACTACACTGACTCCTACCTTAAAGATAGGGAGTGAAGTGGTTGGTGGAGTGTGTTGACCACTTCACTTATTTGGGAAGTTGAATCAGCCAACGCCAGCGGGTTGATCGCTTACGAAATCTCAGTACGGATACAAAAGGCTCGTTCGACACATGCCACTTTACGCCGTCTCCGGAGTAGACGTGATATCCGGCTGACTGGCTGTCGACCAAAGGGCGTACGTACTGCTCAGCAGTCCACTCCACCCTCCTTTATGACTGGCTGGCTGGCTGGCTCTGAGACATGGCCATTGAAAGTGGAAGACATGGACAGGTTGCCTAGCTCTGTCTTTGATCATAGGTGTCTGAGTTCTATCTCCCATGTTAAGTGGCATAACAACGTGAGCAATATTGAGGTTAGCCGTTGATTATTAATTAGGTGAGGAGGGGAAATCAATCGACGAGGTGGTGGCGTTACATCAATTGATGTGGTTAGGACATGTGTTGCGCATGCATCCCCAGCCATCGCCTTCCACGACCAACAATGTTAGTAGACTGACACAGGATCAGGTTGGAAAACCTCTTAGTCGTGGCATAACCAAAACGTGGCTTCATCAGTCAATGAAATCCACAACAGTTAGTTTAAGCCAGCCAGCCAGCCAGTCACGTAGGAAGGTGTAGACTGGCTTCCTGACTGGTTTTAGTTCTCGGGATGGTAAAAACCAATGGCTCGAGACAATTGGTAATATGGTCAAACATCGTTTTCAATGACGCAGATGCATTTACTCCTTGCGACTTATAATATTCAACAAAACTATAAGGTTCCTCGATATTACTATTCTTTTCTGCCTCATATCTCTGTTTACTGTCTCTGTTTTTGCACTCCTTTTTATACTGTCTTCTCTTGCTTTGTGTGCTGACTGTAGTGTGGAGACTCGAACTGCTGCACATCGGTGCAAAGTTCTACGTTGAAACCAGTCAGTCTATATTTCGGCATACATACACACACACACACACACAATCATGCCTATCCAGGTCTAGACGTTTTTCATTCTGGACTAAATCGAATGCTTCGGAATTAGTAATTCCCAAGAAGATATTGCACTCAAACATGTTTTTAGTGTGAAAAATAGACGCACACTCAATCGGAAACCGAATGCATTCAGTGAAGACAACCCCCCTCTTTGGAAAGGCAGAAAGACTGAATCTATCTACTGAACACACAAATTAACCACCACTTCATGTCTCTCTCCCTCTACGTAAGAATCCTAGTGGAACTTACATTTAACGCAATACACTACTGAATAATGAATTAAGTATCTTGTGAATAGGTCTCTTACTTTCCAGTCAGTACCATTAGGAAAAATTCTCACATCTCAATTATGTTTACCACATTGAAACACCACCTGTGTGTGTAAATCTTTATTGTGATTATTATTATTATTATTATAAAGAAGGAAATGGCCAATCAGTGCGCTCTAAAGGATAGGCTATTCGTTCGAAAAACATGATTAAGGTATTCCCATATTTACACCATTCACGTCTCCACATAATCCTCATATATTATTAAAGAGTGACCCAACGTAACCTTCTCCATCACATCACCATCATTAATACACATTCATGACATACGTTCCATCCTCGCCTACTTTACCACCAAGACCCACTCTACAACTCGCCTCTAAGAAACACGTGTACATCAAGCTACCATATATGGGCGAGGCATCATAGCAGCTTGATAACTAGACAAAGACTGAACGCTGCGGTGGTTAAAAAGACTTTTTATGCAGCTAATATCATAATAATTGAGAATGTGAAGCCAATATATCCATTCATCTAAGCCCTTTGAACATGCGAAAAATGATATCACATCACACTGTATTTACCAATTTCAATGTACGTGTGGCCACACACACACACACACAAACATACATAAGGAGGACTCATTGATCTCTGCAAGTAAGAACTGGCTTCAGAGCTTATTACTAAATAGCTCCAGAAACAAATGGAATCTTCAGAACCCGTTGATGGTGCGAACAGGAGAACTAGCTCCTCTATTGCGAAACATATTACACAGGAGACAGGACATAAAATTGACGTTAACACATCTTTTAAACCTATCTATAAACGCGTGTTTGGGTGACGGCGTATCCTAGCCCCAGCTGGTAGTTAGAAAGTTTAAACCACCTTTATGCGTTCAAAGCAGCAATTCGTCATCACATTAAACCTTCCTTGGTAAACTTTGTTTTGATACCATAGCAGATGTACTATTACCTCTGCTATTTGGTTTAGCCATTCATCTTCATTCTTATTTTGATATTCAATATGTCCTCCTTTTAACTTGACCTAAGTAGTCTATTTTCTCACCCACCTCTTAACTCTTTATTATTTCCACAAATGTCTATTCCTATGACAAGTCTGTGTGTGATCAGATTGTTCGAAATGTGTTGCGCAAATATGCACATTACACACACGATTCAGCCAAATTACGTCTTCTTACTGCTTTATCTGGACTTATTCTTCGCTTAAATCGGAGGCACAATTATGACACAACGGGTTGCTGAAAGCCTTCAGGAAGCCAGTCAACCAGTCTGTGGGCCAACAAATACCCTGATGACACTGTTCAGTTGACCAGCCCGATCTACACATGGGAAGGGACTTTGAAACCTGCATCTAGTGGCTAGAAGTCGGGTGCTTAAGTAATTAAGTCACATCTTCCCGAAGGAGATAAAACCATTTCACATCAGAGTATGAAATATGATGTGGAATAAACAATCAAGCGATAGGAGAAATACAACTTCCACAAAATATGCTCAACAATAAGAGAAATATATTCAACTCACATTTGTCCTTAAGACCTCAGAATCACAATGCGGCGATACCAATGGATCAACATGATTGCTGGGTAGAAGCTTTTGAGATCTCAAGTTTTTCACCTCCGTCTCATTGATGGACACTTGACGTCTTCGTAAGCTAGTGAAAATGTTTAATGATAATATACACACACATCACAATTATAATTCACGATTACATCATCGGCTGAAAATCATGCCAAAATTGTATAATAAAACAAAGTGAGGAAAACACGAGAGAAATACATTCATATTCTAATTTATAATGTCCTTCAGGACAGTTCTGTCTAGGGGGACGACAATTCTTCAGCAGTACACATCCATAACCCCACCGAGGACTGACTGCATGCACAACCTTCAGACTACGAAGCCAGCTCGTTGGTCAGACCATTCGGTCACTGACTAGGCAAGGAATCCAATGGTCCATGAATTCTAACTTCTTCTGTTCATTCACTATTTTTTCAACCAACTGATCGATCTCAATCCGTCATCCAAATTGACACCAATGAAATCTTCACAAATTAACACTTCACTCCACAATCCGCTCCGTCCTCCTTTATGGCTGGCTGGCTGGCTGGCTCTGAGACATGGCCATTGAAAGTGGAAGACATGGACAGGTTGCCTAGCTCTGTCTTTGATCAGAGGTGTCTGTGTTCTATCTCCCATGTTAAGTGGCATAACAACGTGAGCAATATTGAGGCTAGCCGTTGATTATTAATTAGGTGAGGAGGGGAAATCAATTGGTGACGTGGTGTGAAGTTACATCAATTGATGTGGTTAGGACATGTGTTGCGCGCATGCATCCCTAGCCACAACAGTTAGTTTAAGCCAGCCAGTCGTATAGGAAGGTACATACTTCCCGGTTTGAGTCCTCAAGATAGTAAAAACCAATGGCTAGAGACAATCGCTAGCATGGCTTAAAATCGTTCCCAATGGCGCAGATGCATTTACTCCTTGTGATTCATAATATCCTATAAAAATCTACTGTTCTTTCATATTGCCTACCATTCTTCTTCTCTCACACTTCTGTTTATTATCACTCCTTAATCTCTTGTGGCAACTCGAACGACTGCACATCTGTGCAAAGGAGTTCTACGTTCAAACCAGTCGGTCGGTCAGTCAGTCAGTCAGTCAGTCGACACTTCGGAGTGAAAATTACCAATTTGACAGGAGCAAGAGAATCTTCAGAGCAGCAGAATATTTTATTTATTTCACCTGTACACTCATTGGTCGAGTATGCTCGCCTAATTATATGCAATAATATCATGTCATCGTAAAATATCATGCACATGTTAATCAATCAGTAGTGCATTGATGTCTACAAAAGTCAGTCAATGAAATCTTTACAATTTGAACCCCACCTAGGAACTCAGACACAATACACATTTGCACCAAAACAAAAGTGTCTATACACACACACACACACCAAACCAGTGGCAGTACTTTATTCGATCCAAGGTAGTCATTATATCACAGTGTTAACGTCAAATAATGGTAACATGAAAGATATTTATCTATCAATGGGGAAGGCAAACAAAATAATCTCACCGATAAACTTCATTTGTAGTACGGCAGAAAATCTCATATGGACTGTCAGGATCACTCAGGTGAGCCCGGATAACACAATTACCCCAATAAGCATTATCATTCTTTATTTGAGCACTAACCTAGTGTACGAAATGAAAAGGGACAAAAAAGAGAAAGAGAAAAAGTTGTCATGTGAAAATAACCCCTTCGTAAGTAAACAAGTGCAAGCGGCAAAAACAGATCAGACCACATATCAAACATATCAAAGTCAATGGCAACTACTTTGATGCTTGTAAAAACACGACTCCCTTACAATTTCTCAACAATAATCTGCAACTGTGAATTCAACAAAAAAGGCAAGGAAGCTTGAAAAATACCCGCCTACAACGTGACATGCATACACAAGCAGATTTACAACTAGGTGAAATGCACAGTCAGTCAGTAAGTCAGCTGTATGGGGCGAGGTATGAATCATGAATGAATACAAATTATCCAAAGAATAAAAGGAACACTACAAATTGACGATTCCATGTAGACGACGAAATGGAGGGAACACGCGCTGTGCTGGCAAACACTGTGTGCCTCAGACTTCAGTTCATTGCAACTTCATCATATTCATCCTTCCATTATGTGGTAGTGGTGCATGACGAGTATAATAATCCTCTTATGCATATAATCAAACAGTGCTTACGTGAAGACCACATGTGTGTGTTTGTGAAATGGAAACTGCAAACTCACCTAACTGACAGCAGTCAAAAGCCCTCCCGACTACTAACGCAACCTGCTGGTAATGAAGAGAGTAGTATCACTAATACCACCTGTCAAGCAGCCACTACACCGATTAACAACTGAAAAACGTGTCTGAAACGCTGATCAAACCATTATCATCGAAGTAGCCACGCTGATCTTAAGGGATAGTCATAGTTACTCTCAACCTAAGTCCTCTTTATAAAGCTGTCATCCACCCGAATTACAAAGCGGAGGCCCAGAAAGGAATTCCAACCACTCAAGAGCTATTAACCACCAAACCAAGACAACTGCATCACTTGCTACATGGGAAAAGCAAATGTGGTAGAATACATAGATACTATGAAGAGTATTCTAAGCACCTAGCACAGACGTTTTAGTATATTCTCCATGTGATTCGTCTCTGAGAAATTTAAGATAACCAACGTTGCAGGACTGGTCTCCACCAATCGGGGGCTAACGATATTTTATCACACAAATACCCGTTCACACTGAGTCGTATTGGCTGGAGCAACATAACTAGCGATTATGTGAGGTTAGGCATGGAGGATTACGTAAGGGAGCGAAAACCAATTGATGACGAAGCTACATTGATTGAGATGGATAGGCGTATCATCATGCTGCCAAGTCATTGCCTTCATAGTCCGACAACATCAGTTGAAATGGGATTACGCGTTAGAAAACAGTTTGGCATGGTCAAATCAAACCGATGCATCAATCCATGAAGACGACTTCAACTACTAGCTTGAGTCAGGCAGTATGATGCAGATTGTCAGGCAGAGGTCCTGCTAACTCCCTCTGCACAAAGATCATTAATTCGAAAATTCAGTCAGTCACCAGTGATAACGCTCTTATTATTTATCTGCTTCAATCAAGTCATTCTTAACAACCACTATACTGCTTGCTCCTGTCAAATTTTCAAATGTAACACCACTGTAGGACGGAGAGTGCAATAAAACTCATTCATCTCAATGTATTGCCCGTTTGAAAAGAAATCTCTGTGTTTAAACAAAGCAACAACTACAGATTTCGCAGAATAAAATGGTACCATATTTTATTTCGTCGCCTTCTCTTCAGCTGCTTACAGGGCAAAAACATTAAATGTATCTACAATAACAATTTAACATACTTACACAGAGTTCATTTTAAACAGAAATCAATCGATCAGTATACACATACACTAATAATATATATATATTCCGAGCAATAATAATCATACAAAATGAAAACTTTTCAGTATCTCGCATTAGGATGAAAAATATCCAGTTATCCTAATGCGAAATACTGAAAAGCTTTCAGTAGCCTCTTGACACATATAAACTCACTAGTAGAGGGAATAAAATTCACATTTGAATCGCAAAATAAACAAGGAGAATTAGCTGTGATGTTAGAGTGTAAAATAAAACGAATAGAAGAGGCTAAACTGCACACAAGTGTTTATAAAACACCAACGCATTCTGCTGATAAACTTTAATTCATCTCATCCGTAGTTATCTGTTAAGGCAGGCTTAGTTGACTTAAATGTCTAACAAACCGAGCAGTAGCACCAAGTAGTACAAGAAAAGACCTAAATGATGAAATAAAACAGACAGAAGAAGAAGAAGTAGCGTTGGTGTCAAATAACTAACTATCCTATGAAATTCACTAGGAAGATCAGAAAAAGTGAAAAGCAAAATAAAAATAGTAGGGAAACTAATAATGATAACATAAATAAGAGAGAATATAAGGCATCTACAGCAGTTTTACCATATAAGCAGGGGACTTCTCAGACATTCCCTACGTAGGATTCTCAATAGAGCAGGAATTAGAGTGGTGGCATTCAAACCTACAAACTCACTCAGCTAGGACAAGCTCTGTAGGCTCTGTGGGACCCTGTCGGTTGACCCTATTAGACAAAATAATATAATTTACAAAATACTCTGCAATGACTGTGAGTTAGGTCAACTACATAGGTCAAACTAGTAGATCGGGGGTAATCAGATTGTCGGAACATAAGAATTTAGCTAAGGGAAGAATGGTTGACCCCATCCGAGAAGACAAGCAATTTAGAAAAAAAGCTCAGTACTACATTGCACTGCATGCATTAACACAACCATACAATGGCATGGTGTGAGAGGGTTAGAATTCTAAAAAGTAATCTAGGTAAGTGGAGAGAGAGATTGATTACTGAATCCTGCCTGGTTCATCCAGTCTACACCGAACACTTGCAATAGGGATGACTCATCACTCATACCGGAAATATGGAAAATACCACTACTACCAATCATCAAATCAAGCGATGAAAAATAATGCAATTACATAAACGAAGTTAGAAAGTTGTGTGTGAGTAGTGCCTTGATATTATTATGAGTAATAATGAAAATTGTGCTCGAAACGTGGTCATCAGTAAACATATAACACTGTACAACACTCTGAGACTTAATCAAAACAAATTTCACCCATAATGGAATTAAAATTGCAAAGTTATCTTCGCAGATAGTTATGAATACTGGCAAAAAAAGAAATACGCAAAGTCATTTGGGGTGTATCTAATATATGCAGCACACATATTAATGAAAACAACAAAATAAAGCACAAAATATTTTGACGCCTCTTACTTTAGCACCAATAGGCAGCAAATAAACCGGAATAATATCGGCTTCTTTGACAATTGCTCTTTGCCCGTCGTCGAAAACAACGCGACAGCTACAGAGAATAAGTAAAACAGGATAGAAATAACATAAATTCAAGTCTTTACAGAGGGAAAGTAATCCCAGAAGGCTGTAGCATTGAGAACTCCACAATGATTGTATAACCACTACCTAGTTTGAATCCAAGAATTTTCAAAGCTCTCTCCACCCACCAAGAAGTACTCACTCGTGTGAGCGCCATCATGGGATTATGAGCAGTAGACTGTGCTCGAAATGCCATCAGTAAATAAATAAGTAATACTGTATAACACATGGGGC